AATCATTCCAGCCCACGTCGTATAGTCTACATGACATGCCCTTATCTACCGAAGACGCTTCCGTACAGTCTATATCACTCCCTCTCTTCTTCACAAGCCGAAAAGTTCGGCATTACACATGAAACAAACCCTACCACTAATACGAACATGTCGAAGACCTACACGAAAGCTGATTCAAGCCGAAGACCTACACGAACGCTGATTCGTACCGAATAAAATTGCAAAGTACACGGAAGCTTTCCAAAATCCACAAAGTACATGGAGCCTTTTCAAAAATCATTGAAGTACACGTTCTAAGATACGTGTAGGCATTCCAAAAATCATTCCAGCCCACGTCGTATACTCCATATGACATGCCCTTTTCTACAAAAGACGCTTCCATACAGTCTATATCACTCCCCCTCTTCGCCACAAGCCGAAAAGTCCTGCATTACACATGAAACAAACCCAACCTCTAATACGAACATGTCAAAGACCTACACGAACGCTGATTCGATCGGAAGACCTACGCGAACGCTGATTCGCGTTGAAGTCATGCATTAGACAAAAGGTCATCCGAACCCGACACGATGTTCACCTGCCCACACAAGTCCCAGACAAAAGCTCATCCAGGCCAGAACGGGACACCTTGTGATAGGGTCAGACCCACTGCAAAAGGAGTGAGGTGATAAATGAGAGTCTATTCACATATAGAATCCGAATACCGTGAGACGATGAGTATCTTCGTAGCATGCGTCCGGTGAGAAGAGTTAGTACGATCTTCATGGTAGCAGCATGTTCAGTCTTCGAGTAGCCTCCCGCGATTGTCGTCGTTGCGCTCGTCTATGTTGAACTCAATTAAAAAAACTTGGTTCGGGAATTCGGGCCTCAAGATCTGCTTCAATATTCGACAAATCGCGCATGAGTAAATCTCTTAAAACTCGATTCAAATTGCTCCAGTGACGGATTTGAAACGGACAATGGTCTCCCCAGAATGGGAAACTGTCATCATCTTCTCTCACGCCGGATACAAGGAATAATTCTCCATCCAAGCACGAGGCGATATGCATGATGAAGATCGATAAGAAAAACGTAATGGCAGGCTCATAACCTTCTGGCATTCTATCGAGAGATGTGCTGGTTACGTACGAATAATACAAACAGCTTCTCAACTCCCCTTCGGACGCAATGTAGAAATCAATTTTGAAGACGGGGCTGTCGCGTAGCGTGGCCATCATAATGTACTTAAAAAATGGGGTAGGTGGGGGCGAAACAGACGGCTGGACACGAGCGCGAACGTCTTTGGGGACCGAAAGATAGCGGTTTATGGGAAGCCCAATGTTGCCAAACCACTCTAAACCATAAATGTTCTCAGTTGCGGCAACAACTGCACTTCGCAGACTTTCGCAGTAGCCGAGGTCTTTGACAACGACTGCCCCACTGAAACTTCCAGACGACATCCTGCATCAGAAAACAGAACAGCGCCCTTGTCATATACGGAGAGGCTGGTAAACGGCAAAGTTGAGACCGTCTGATGTTGGCAAAGTGCGAATGAACTTGAAATTAGATAGACAGTATTTCATGCAATGCGGTATACCGAAGTTGAGGGGGCATGATGAACGAGAGATAAGTAAGGGGGTGAACATGGAATTCAACGGGCTGTAAGCATAGTGCGAGTCTATTCGCACTAGAGAAAATACGAAGCAACTAATTCAGAACGCCGCTAGTGAAAATGTAGATGTCCAGCATCGCAGTAAGGGCAGTCGCATACATATCTCGTCTTCCCGTTGCGCAAAGTCACTTGCTGAGGTCCGGAGGTTGAATAATCCAGATGGCGGTAAACAAATCGCAATTCGTTGTCCCTATGTTCGACTGTGAAATTTATTTCGTCGCAGCTATCGAAGAGGTAGTGAAGTTGTTGGTGCACCAAACAGTCGACCCGCAAATGCAACTCATCTTTGAGTGTTTGATCTAGGGCGAGCCTATTTTTGAACCGTGCAAGGGAACCAGTAGGGCCGGATGTGTGAAACGCTTTAAAAGAAGTGAGTTTCACACCGTGAAATTCCTCCCTTGCGAGAAAAATAGTTCTCATTCGTCTACCGTCCACCTTCACCGCAGTGAAGAGCGTCACGACGGTGGTGCCTCGATTACACACCCTCGCTCGACGGAAGTAGTCTATGATCACCGGCGCCGACTTCGTCGGTTGGCCAAGGCAAAACCAGACACACAGTTTTTGATGCAACTTGTCCAACGACGCCCACTTAAGTTTCTCACATAAAATGTGCCATGCTTCAACCATCTTAGAAGTTTGGACGGGTTCCTCTTCAAGGGGTTCCCTCTTCAGAAGTGACTCCAACCTGATAGGGTATGCCTGTACATCCTTCATCAGAGTGTACAGGTACCAAAAGTTCGACCCTACATCACGGCAAATCCGAAGTTGTCCTTCTTCCGCACTTTGCCACAAAGGGATTTCCCCGTCCGAGGCAACATCATCTTCGAGGTGCAGGTAGTCACGGTCCAGACCAGAGCATCCAATGTCTTCTCAAATGTTCTTCAACAAAATGATTAGGTCGAAATCCGGCGCTGAGGACTTCCTACTCTGCGABGAAGTCCCGATATCCATTCTGCATCAGCGGAGAAACGCAAGGAAGCGCGTCAGTTGCGATTCTCGCAAGTGCATAAGCAAAAATTCCGGGAATGTTATATGCACGAAAGGGTTCCATACTTGGTAATTGGTTCGCACATCGCAAGAGAGTGCAAGTTTTATAACCGCCGTCTAATGCCGACTTATTTTCTACACGTTATTCATGTGAGTCGATAACTGAGAGTAGATTCGCACTTCGCAAATCAGCGCAAGTCCTGCAACCGCCGCCGATGATTGGAAAATAAATGACCGTAGATTCGCACTTCGCAACTGAGCACAAGTCCTGTAACCGCCACTCAACTTCGACTCATCTCTAACACGTCGTTCATGTGGAACGGTGAGATTACTCTCTTATTGGGTGGAATGGTCTGACTACTCTCTTAATCAGCGCAAGTCCTGCAACGATGACGTCGATGAACGTTGAGGTCGTCCTATGAGTACAGCATCAAAGTGCAAACTAACTCGGAGTTGTCTCACATAGCAGGTCATGGCGACTGGTGTCCATCCTCACAGTAAGGACAGTCGTAGATCTGTCTCCGCCTACCCCCTACGAATTCCAATGTTTGGACACCCGAACGGTGATGCGAAACTTTTCGTAGAGTGTAGTCATTGCAGTTGTCCTTGTGTTCCAACGTGAATAATATGTCGTCACACAATCCGAAAAGGAAGTGAAGTTGGGCATGCATTAAATAGTCAACCCTTTGATTCAACTCTTTTGCGAGCGAAGGATCTATTTTGAATCGTTCACGGAAGCGCTCAAGAGCACCAACGGACGTGGGCTCGCGAAAGTCTTCCCTCACAAGGAAGAAAACTCTCATTTGCTTACCACAAAGCTTGGCCGCCACGAAAAGAGTCAGCACAGGGGTGCCACGGTTGAACAGACGAACTCGGCCATGAAAGTCTATGATCACAGGAGAACGCAATTGCGGCTTCCCGATGCAGTACCATGCGCAAAGTTTAGCATGCTGCTTGTCCATACAACCCCACTCTTGTTCGAAGCACAGCGACTCTCAGTCATCTACCATATCCTCGACGTCCATCTTCTGCTCCTTACTGGATGGAACTTCCAAAAGTTGGACTTCTTCTAAACTCCAGTAGAGGTACCACATATTTGATCCTCTATCACGAACTATCGTAATTTGTCCATCAACAACACGTGTTTCGTGTGCAATGTAACCATCGAGGCCAAACCCTGCTTCGATATGCAGATAATCGCTATCAAGACTGAGCGTTTGTTGTGCCCAAATGCATTTGTTCATAATGATAAGATCCGTGTCCACATTCTCGATCGAAAAGGAATACTCGCTCGCATACGACGAGGTTTCGTAGTACGTTGTCTCATATACAACGTCGCACGATGGTGTGTCGTCGTCATGCATCCTGCAGGACAAGAAACCGGAATTAGTTCGCAGTTCACGTCTCGCCATTATCTTAGCGGAGTTCGTAGCTACCAAATCCGAATCAGTTCGCATTTATCTTAACGGGCACGTCGGACGGACCGGAAAGACAGCCGTCCCCCAAGGCCACAAGCGCTTTCTCGCAAACGGATGTCGGTATTGCAAGGCCTGTCACGAATTTACTCTCATCCGTCCCTTTGGGAAAAGGTCTTCTCCAAGAATAAGCCACGGTTTCGGCGCGTTGCCATTGTTCCTCGTCCGAAGTGGAAAGTTTCCACCTCTTCGTCCAAGCGCCGGAGTACCTTTCGCGAAGATCGGACGAGTGACCTGTAGGCACCCACCACTGTATACGTAAACAACCGAAATGCGGTGAGGAACGGTCGTCCACAACCTCAGACTGTGCTCTGCCAACCCAGAACGGGACACCTTGAGACAGTTCCTCATCAGGCGGCCTAACAATCAGAAAATCACCTTTGTTTATATGGCGCTGAGGGTCGAAGTCCACTTTTGGACGGCCCGCCCTCGGTCCTACATATATAAGCGAAGCATCTGGCGAAGGAGGATCGGCTTCTTGAACTTCGTCCACAGTTTCGACTGATTGTGGCCAGAAGGCGTGAGGGTAGATCTCCGGCTCGTCCGCCCCGAGGACATCCTTTTCCTCACCCTCTTCCGTCTCCGTCTTCTTTTGCTTTTGGATCATGTCGTATGCCTCAACGAAGATCGCTTTCCAGTAAAACAAAGCATCCTCCCGCTTGTCGAACTCCTCCTTCCTATATGTCTGCCACATGTGTCTATGCTGTTCCAGGACGTCCAGAAATTTTTGGACACTGTCACGAGCCATCCGAAAATGGTCTTTAACGACACGAGGAATAACACAGGGTTGTGGAGGGGAGGTAGGGCCTGCATACTGGCCATCGACAACGGGACCTCGAATATAGTCGACGGAGAAACCTAATATTCGCTGTGCTCAATGGGTACCACGGTCCACCCAGGGAGTCTATCTCACACTTCCTGAGAAGGTTGAAGCACGTTTACTTCACGCTGGCCGAACCGCTCACCCTTGAACACTACAAGTCACAGTTTGACGAGGAGGACCCTTTCGACGCTGAAGACATGGAGAAGCTGAGCGACTCCGAAACCTTCGATTTCGAGTCCATGCCACTTCCTCGGGTGGTTGGACAGGTTGGTGATGAAGAGGAAGGTGGCCCTCGGAGATATAGCACGTCCCTTGCCGGTTTGAAGCGTGTGTWTCGGGGCGAACWAGTCGASGACCAATCGTCTGATGACGGGGAGGAAGAGAGAGACTATGATCACGAACCTTGTGACAGGCTCCCTGTGGACCATGACATCTGGCAGAATGACAGACTCTACTTCTTCGGCAAGCATCACCGGTTCACGTTGGAGGATGTCTGGGGACACAACGTTGTCTGGCACCCGAGGATATTCCAACCTGCTGTGAGGAATGGAATATGGGTCATGGCGATAAAGGAGGCCGATGGCAAGTGGAGTGGACTCAAGAGACTGGGAGCGGCTGCATTTAAGAGAAAGGCAAGAACTGCTCTGGTGGAGCATTTGAGTCTCATGAACCCGGAGAGGAATGATCTGGACGTTGATGCGTATGCAGAACAAAAGCTACATGAGTTGTACGCCAACAACATGTTGGAGTTTCGAGCGTTTTTCTACGCACTCGAAACGGCACCGTCTCGTGGCATTGACTGGCGCATGCCGCAACCTCCGCCGACCGGTCAGCATCCGGGAGAGGGTGGTGGAGGAGACGAAGGAGACGGCAGAGGTGGCGGAGGATACGGCTCACAGTTTGCCGGAAAGGGGACGGGCGAGACATCGTCGGTAGAGAAGGCGTCCGTCGGAAAGGGGTCGGGCGGAAAGGGGTCGGGCGGGAAGGGGTCGGGCGGAAAGGGGTTGGGCGGAAAGCGTAAGACGTCCGGGACTCTCCAGTATATGGAAACTGACCCCCACTGCGTAGGGAGTCGAGATTCCGACATGCGAGACGAGGCTACCCTGATGTCTGATCAAGTGCGAGTAGATTTGCACTTGTATGCGAGGAGTTTGTTTTCCGTTGCCCAGGAGAGTCCATCCCGCCGATCGCAGCAGAGGTCTCCTGTGCTCAACACCTTGCTCCTGAAAGAGGGCGCGTCTTCGTTTTGCCTGGAGGGCGGGATGCCTGCATTGCGAAAGAGTGAAGGTGCGACCTCCGGTTCCCTCGGCTCAGGCGACCGCCACAAACTCCGAATACATTCGGATTTGCTGACGTCGCCGTCCGCCATAAGTGCTCCTCACGCAACAGTTCCGCGGGGCCAAGAAAATGTGACGTCCTGGCCCCCGCATCTTTAGTTGGACACAGGGTTACCCTGCTTGCCTCCTTTCTCATGTGTTGAGACTGGAGACTGGCGGTGTCGCGACGTGTTGGAGGGGCCCGCTCAAGGAATGTTGGAGACCGGGGGTAGCGAGAACGAACGTCACACTCCTGGGGAAGACGAGCGCTCTCCGGGAACGCGTGCTGTACATCGGGAAGAGAAGACTCAACGCTGGCAGTCTCGCAAAGTGTTAAAGACCGGGGGTAGCGAGTGTGAACGTCATGCTTCGGAGGGTGCATCCGTAGACACTGACAGCGAGAGTGCAGGAGCTCTGGGGGAAACGCATGCTGTACAGCGGGGAGAGGAGACTCGACACGGGCCGGCTTGTGAAGACGTGAAGTGGCTCCACGCACGAGCGTTGGTGATCGGGACGTCTGAAGAGGTTCTGCACAGTCGCTCAGCTGTGGCCATGACGCGAGAGGGTGTTGTTAAGGGAGGTCAGTGGACGTCCGTGCAAGCTCCCGTTCTTGGCGACGATGAAGACGGAGAAGAACCTGCGGTGAAAGCTCGGGTTCATGGCGATGAGAAAGGCGGAGAACTTGTGGTGGAAGGCGGCGAGGTGACTGTCGACATCCGGACGGATCCACAGCGGAAAGATGGTGATTCTTCGCCCATCCGTTCCGGTGAAGAACAGGGTAGTCGAGCGTCTGTCCTGAGCACTGCTCGGGGAATGGTGCTTCATGAAGCCATACAGTTGGGTAACGACTCGGCAGCCACCGAGATGGTTAGCGACTCAGGCGCGGCCGAGATGCAGAACGTTGAGGTGGCCGTCAGCATCAAGATGGATCTAGAGCGGAAAGATCATGATTCTCCATCCACCCGTTGCGGTGCCGAGCAGGGTGATCGAGCATCTGTCCTCAACACCGGTTGGGAAATGGTGCTTCATGAAGTCATCGACTTGCCAAGCGACTCAGCTGCCACCGAGCTGGTTAGCGACACATCCGTGGCCGAGGTCCAGAACCTCGAATCGTCCGTGGACGTGGACACTGTGGCGCGATAGGAGGGCGAGTTCCCTCAAAGGGCTCCCGAGCACGGTAAGCTTTGTGAATAGGACCACTCACATATCTGTCAATAGCCAGCTCTATGTTCGTCCAAATTGATGTCATGGGCTAATATACCTATTACCACTGGTTAAAAAAAAGCTTGTGGCCTGTGGGTTGTTTTCTATTATCTACACGTGTGAGGTTGTTAATGTCCTTGCCCATAAAGCCTTTAAAAGCCGTGCGCGAGAAACGTCTTTCAGGGAGGTCATTGGCTGCTTTACCGAAGAAGTCGTCAAGTGTAGGGTTGTTTAAAAGAGTCCAGATGCCTCGCCTTTCCCAGAGAGCTGTCAGGGTTCTGAAGGCTTGTGGAATAGATAAGGAGGAAGGTCTGCGGAAACATTTGGCTGCGTTTATTGAGAGCGTTACTGCTTTATCTGATGGGTCTGATGACGATGGCGAACGGGGTGTTTTGAAAGACCCGTGTCCTAAGTACATCACGAAGGACACATTCAACAGTCGGGGATACAACTTTTCTGGGAAAAGGGCAGACATTTCTTAGCCATTCTGCCCCGGGGTTTGTGCTCACTCCTCACACTTGTTCGTGGGTGTTTGTGCAGTTGGGGCTACATCATGTTTTCGCGTTCCCTTGCCTACTGAGAAGCTTAGCGCTACGGACTTCAGAATGTTGCAGGATGTCTACGGAGATTTCAGCAACGGCCAGGAGGTGGTTTGCTCGGTTCGCAGAGGTCCCTGTTCGATTCCGTTGACCATAAAAAGTCTTCAAACTTTTGTCCAGGGGGGATGGCTTTCCGACGAGATGGTGGAGTCGTACTTGGCCTTGCTTGCCAACGCTGCGTTCCCTGGGGGTCCCTCTCTTTACATTTTCTGTCCTTTTTTCTATACCAAGCTTGTCGGTGGTGGCCATCGACATGAAAGGGTTACGAAATGGACAAAAGATGTGGATATTTTCTCGTACGGCATGGTCTTGATTCCTGTCCATAAAAATCGAGTGCATTGGACCCCTATTATGTGTCCGAGAACAAGGGCTGGAGTACTACGACTCCCTCCTCCAAGACGATGGCGGTTTTTCTTCCGATGTGCTTGCGAACTTCACGCAATACCTCCATGACGAAGCGGTTTGTCGATATGGTGAACAAGCCAAACTGGATCTCCCGACGCCTGAGGTGGTTGCTCATGGTGTCCCTCAACAGTCGGACGGGTCGAGCTGCGGTGTTTTCATGCTCGCCTTCGCTTCTTTTCTTGCACGCGGCTATCCGCCACCATTTCCGATAGCCCAAAGCGACATTGCAAACATCAGGCTGATGATTGCGGTGGACATACTCCAAGGCTCTGAATAATACTCCTGTTGTTAAAATACGCATAGTTTTTTTTCGAAAGGCCATAAGCAGAAGTGCGAATCTATTCCCACTTGATCTAGCAGTCAGCTGGTTCGAGCTGTGCTGTTGTTTTCATGAGGTGCCGGATTGCAGTGGACGTTTTGGTCAAGTACAGGTTTAGGTGTCGATGTGAATATCCCAGCCTCGTGCTGTATCAATTTTTTAAGAGTTCTTCATTTCGTGGACCCTGTATATTTACTCGTAGGACTTTCGGCAGCGCCGTGCTTCCTTTGTTTGTTTTCGGGTTGTTCTCATTGCTTGCCATGCAACATCTGCTAGAGGGTAGCAGCGGACGCTTACGTGAAGTAGAAGCTCAGATTGTGATGTAAATATCCCAGCCACCTGGTGCAGTTCCTTTTAAGTAGACACTTACATATCGGATGTGAATATCCCAACTTTGTGCTCCTTTTGTTTATTTTCGGGTTGTTCTCCTTATGTCCTCTTAGACCGCAGCAGCACCGTGCTGCGTTTGTTCGTTTCGAGGTTGTGCTCCTCTTTTACTCATGTGAAAGATGTTAAAGATTTATTCTTGGTGGCCGAATTGTTTCATGCTTATCTCTTTCGTTCGCGAGACTTTGTGGTGTGAAAGTCCCTCTCCCCCGCCCCACCCCGACCAACCAGCTTCAATATGTTTTTACTCGCCCTTGTTCTGCGTGTGCCGCCCCGTTTTACGGTTCACCCCCTCTGCTTGTCTCGATTGAATGCTGTTTGTTGGTTCCTTATGACAGTTGCGAACTTGTTCTCCATTCGGAAACCAATGGTCACCAGAATGTATGTGTGCTTGAAGTTGTTTTACGGATTCAGCGGTGCACTGAATGATCACCAATTTTGGTATCCTCGGAATACATCTCGTGCTCTCCACGGAATGCTGGCTGTTGTTTCCGTATGAGAAATGCAAACATATTCGCACTTCGGATGCCGTACATTTGTGATTGAACTGTTGGTTTCATATGAGAAATGAGAACATATTCGCACTTTGGCTCCATGTACTTTGTGATATTTGGAAAACCTCCGTGCACTTTGCAATGTGGGATTGTATGATATTTTGCGTTCAATGACTTTTTGAAACGTCTCTGTGTGCTTTGCAATTTGCCCTCGAATGAATTTTCTTCATTGAATGGTTTCTGGTACCTGTTCGTGTGCTGTGAGATTTCACCTTTGGAAAAACATTAGGCAACTTGAGATGTTTTCACCACGATGTTTGCGATGTCTCTGTGTGCTTTGCAATTTGACTTGTGCTTGAAGTTGTTTAACGGATTCAGCGGTGCACTAAATGATTGCCAATTTTGTTAACCCCGGAATACATCTCGTGCTCTCCACTGGATGCTGACTGTTGTTTTCGTATGAGAAATGCGAACATATTCGCACTTTGGATGCCGTACATTTGTGATTGAACTGTTGGTTCCATATGAGAAATGATAACATATTCGCACTTTGGTTCCATGTACTTTGTGAGTTTTGGAAAGCCTCTGTGCACTTTGTAATGTGAGATTGTATGATATTTTGCGTTCAATTTGGAAAGCCTCTGTGCTTTGCAATTTGCCCTTGAATGAATTTTCTGCATAGAATGGTTTCTGGAAACTGATCGTCTGCTCTGAGACTTCACCTTTGGAAAAACAGTGCGCAACTTGAGATGTTTTCACCGCGATGTTTGCGATGTCTCTGTGTGCTTTGCGATTTGACTTGAGATGTTTTTATCTCGATGTTTGCAATGACAAGAGATACTTATATGAATGGATATGAGTCTTCTACACAGAAAGATTTGATGGCGTTTTCAACATGTGATATACAAATGACAAGCCAATGTCCATATTAAATTGTCGCGCTGATGGACTGCGCAACTGCTTCTCCATCAAAGTGCGAGTTCAATCGCACTTCTGGTGTGAGCCCTGAGCAATTCCCTCGCACTTTGCTTCACGTCGAGGAGGGGATCGAACACACCGCCGGTAAGCACCTGCACATCACGAAACAAGAGCACGTCCCAATTGGAACATCGTCGGAGCCTCACCTCATCGACTCTCAAGATGACTACAGCCAACAGCGGTAGGATGGCAGGCCCGCCTATCCGATGTGGATCTCATGGTGGAGTGCGAAACTCTGCTCTCAAAGATCCACACCGGGTAGAAGGTCCTGCAAGCAGTCGCTGCTTGCTTGTAAGGCATCTTATGATGTGTCGATATAACCGACATCCAGAACTGCTTGGTGAGCATCTAGTGCTACGCCAATAAGTTTCAAACACGGCAGCAAAGTCCCCTAAGAGTGTTCTTTGTCGGGTCCTCACCACATGGACTCTCAAGATGACTACAGCCAACAGCGATAGGATGGCAGGTCCGCCTACCCGATGTGGATCTCACGGTGGAGTGCGAAACTCTGCTCTCAAAGATCCACACCGGGTAGAAGGTCCTGCAAGCAGCCGGTGCTTGCTTGTAAGGCATCTTATGATGTATCGATATGACGGACATCCAGAACTGCTTATTGAGCATCTAGTGCTACACCAATATGTTTCAAACACGGCACCAAAGTCCCCTGACAGTGTTCTTTGCCGGGTCCTCACCTCGTCGACTCCCTCAAGATGACTACAGCTGACAACGGTAGGATGACAGGTCCACCTATCCGATGTGGATCTCACAGTGGAGTGCGAAACTCTGCTCTCAAAGATCCACACCGTGTAAAAGGCCCTGCAAGCAGCCGCTGCTTGCTTGTTAGGCATCTTATGATTTGTCGATATAACCGACATCCAGAACTGCTTGGTGAGCATCTAGTGCTACGCCAATAAGTTCCAAAAACACGGCAGCAAAGTCCACTAAGAGTTTTCTTTGCCGGGTTCTCACCTCATCGACTCCCTCAAGATGACTACAGCTAACAGCAGTAGGATGACAGGTCCACCTATCCGACGTGGATCTCACGGTGGAGTGCGAAACTCTGCCCTCAAAGACCCATACCGGGTAGAAGGTCCTGCAAGCAGCCGCTGCTTGCTTGTAAGGCATCTTATGATGTGTCGATATAACCGACATCCAGAACTGCTTGGTGAGCATCTAGTGCTACGCCAATATGTTCTGAACACGACCGCAAGGTCCCCTAAGAATGCTTTTGGCACTCGAGTCCTTTGACCGCCGACTGTTTGGCACTTCGTGAAGGTTGATACTTCTTGAAGTTGGTCTACGAGTTCTTAAAGGTGGTCAGTCACCAAACAGGTCACGACCTGACATCGACCTTGATAACTGCGAATTGACTCGCAGTTCAACTAGAGTCTCTCTCTCTCTCTCTCTCTCTCTCTCTCTCTCTCTCTCTCTCTCTCTCTCTCTCTCTCTCTCTCTCTCTCT